CGACAATCCTTCTCAAAATGACTAGGATAGTTTTGCCAAAGACACTGACTGGGTTTGCATTTTACAGTTCTCAAGAGCCATCTGTCAAACTCTCTCTCCTCTACTGTGCAACAATAATGCTTTCTTTGTACTTCAGAATGGACTTCCTAGGCTTGTGATATGCCTTTATGTCTTTATTAAATATAAAACATGAAACTCCACTTTGATATATGTTACTGCAAATACCAAGTGCAAAAAAAAAAAAAAAGACAAATCCAAAGCATCCTAAGGAACTCTTCTATTTTTGGAAAAGCAGTGTGAGAACTGAACTTACTTTATTCCTGGTGGTGCACCTGAAAGACCACTCATGCCTGTCCAGGTTGGTACACCAGAAGCAGCTCCTAAACATCGCTGTCGAGAGACTTTTAAGGCTCTTAAGGCATCCTGGGCCACTCTGTTTGCTTCTGCTTCCACCAGCACATGATCTGCACTGGAAGCTTCCATAATGACATCATGCTTCATAACACTGTGTACCCCTAAAAACCAAAAGATACAAGAAAAGGTGAAGGAGGACATCCGCTAATTTACATGGTTATCTGTAAAATTAACTATCCACCATTTAAGTGAATGCCACAATCACATTTTTCCTTTTTCAGGTTGATTATATTCAGCACTTCAGTATAGTCTTTTCTAAAAAGAGAACCCCCTTCTATCAGTTAAGCAATCAATTTGACAACAAACCTCTTCTGGTGTACTGAGAAGTCATTATTCACAGCAGACTTGGCAATTATGTGGGTAAATCGATCACTTCTATTGTTATGGACAGGACAGACAGAAGTGAAACCCTTGTGTAAATGAAAGTTGGTTACATCCTGATTTCCAGAAGAAACACTGCATTACTTCTATATCCAGAAGTGTTTCTGGAAGGCTCCAGATCTCTCTGAAATGTTTGTGATAAGGTAATTAGCACATTCATAACTGAAGCATTTCAGTGATGAACATTTTAATGTTTCACTACACTAACAGGATAGAATCACAGAATCATAGAATGCTTTGGGTTGGAAGGATAGATAAAACACATTTTGTACTGTAGCTCTAACCATCAGAGTAACAGAACTGCTCCTTCCCTCACTTGCCTAAGTTTTATATACATCTGTTTAAATAGTCTGACACTGTTGAGCAGCCAAATAACAAGTTACCTGATTTTTTGAAAAGTTTCTCCAAGACGTAATCATCATTTCTCTTTGAGTCTTCCACCTCTTCACTGTTCTCCCTTCTGTATCGCTTTTGTTTCACAAGATGAGGAATGCGCTCTCCTTCAAATTTGGCATCTTTGTGATGTTTCTTCTTAGACTTATCTTTGTGGCTCTCATGTGGCAAAATATCCACCCTGTGCTTTGTTTTTGAGGTACATTTATAATGATTATTATCTAATTGCCCATCTTCAGTTTTAGCAACCCGCTTTTCCCAAGAGCCAGCTGCACCACATGTAAGGCTAAAATCTCCCTTGACATTTGCATTAGTTGCTCCATGTACTTCATCAGCCACCACGGCGTTCAGACATTTGGCATTCTCTGAAGACCCTGCATCACCTGGCAACGACTGGGACATAGATTTGTCAGCTCTTTCCAAGCTTTCCTCCTTGCTTTTATTCAATGAATTTATATTAGTAGCAGCTTGTGCATTATCTTTTGCATAGCTAGTTTGGTCAAAGACTTCCAAATTTCCTTTGGTTTCCTCGCTTGTCTCCATTGCTTTAGAAGAATTTGTCGTGTGGGTGGTTGGGTAGGAATTGGATGACTTGCTGTACTTTGGTGAGCTGCTTTCTGTAAGATGGAGATCACCTTTAGAAGTGTCACTATCTGGTGGCTTTTCAAGTTTCCGTTTCAATTGGTGTTTTGGGACTTGAACATCTGAACCAGTACCTGAGAGATTAATGAAATTAGTATCCGTTTATCAAACACTTCAAACATTTTTTCTTTTAAACAAATAGAAAAAAATGTGTACCTGCAAAAATTGCACTTGTTTCTGTCCCCTGAGACACATCTGGGCTGCTCAGAGTAAAAAGCTCATAAAGGTCATTGGATTTGAAAAAGCGTCTCTGCTTAGGGTCTTTCAGCACTCTGTTTGTTAAAAACTGTTTGAAGATTTGTCTAAAAAAGAAAAAAAAAAGTACTTTGTGCATGAAACAATGTCTAGCTATGTTTAAGTACTGAATATAGTACTTAAGCAGAAAACTGTATAAGCACAAACGTTACTCTGCAGAATAATTAAGCAGTGGGAAGATGATGTTAGTTTCCAAAAGGCAATCTTGAGTGAGTAACTTTCAAACAACCAACTAAATTGTTAAACACAGGGATTTATCGTTTTGCAATAACCCCATAACACAACAGGTAACCACTATCCTGAAATGTCCTAGGAGGCATCCCTTAACTAAGCAATAAATAACTTCACAGCTAGAATTTTTTTTTTGTCCATTAAAATTGAAAAGCTTGCATGTATTACAATAAAACTATCAGAAAGCTCCTGAAAGAAAAACAAGAGCTTGTTAAAATGACAACATTTTAATGGTTCAACTGGTTGGAGGAATCAAAAGCAGCAGAGCAGCTCAGTCTGATGGTGATGACTGGATGACAACCACTGAAAACGGAAATCAGACTTGTGGTTGAGAGGAAGTGAAAAAAGAGCCCATCTGCAGAGGACTGAAAGGAACAAATATGGGGTAGAACTAAGCTGCAAAAAGTCTTCTAGCATTGGTAAATCTACTTCTATGCCATGTTTGTACTACATAGCTTTTGATTGCAAGTTCTTGGCACTATTTTCCTGTACAACAAATACATCCCTAAATAAAGCTGGAAATCAGTTCTCAAGAAGTGTTATCATGGTTTTGGCTCTGCTAGCATTAAGCAGTGAAATTATTTTTAAATCCAATAAGCAAAAACTAAGTTTAAACATAGGTGCCAGCTACTGTTGTGCACTCATCAGACTTTAAAGTTTTTAGGAATTAACTGAGCTTCATAGCTTCCTGCAAGGATGATGACGTATTTGCAGGGAAGAAAACACAGGCAAAGAGAAAAGACAACTTGCTTAAAGTTCGAAGTCCATTGCACTGTTCTGGAAATAAATGAATTTCTGATGGCTGTCCTGACCCTTAGAGCCCACTTCCTTGATGTGGTCAGTGTTGTTCAAACAGAAGTATGCCAGAGGGATGCAAGCCAACAAAGAGCGGATGCTTTGTGTCCATGTGGTAAAACAGATTAAAAAAGGCACTCAGTAAGTGCGGGTACTTCATTATTTAGAGCTTTTCATTCATCTGCATTTTCAAAGAGGATATTCCAGTTCTAAAGAGTAATGCCTAGACAGAGGATTCCCACGTACATTCATTTGGAATTCATGTGAGTGAAGCTAACTACTGAGAAAGCTGAATGGGAAAGCAAAACCAAAAAGATTTCATTGATTTTGAAATACAAGCACTTTAAGGCTTTAGCTACATTTTAGAATAAATAACATGAATATGACTGTTGGTTCTTAGGATTTAATTCTCTCACTTTGGAATGATTTGGGAATTAAATCAAATTGGGTTTGCAGAGTAGTAAATGGATGTATGTACCACATACACCTTTATATATCGTAAGGACAATATAAAGCACTTGTTGATTTCAATTTGCATTTCAGACTTGTTGAATCTCATGTTCTGAGTAAGGGGCTCATTTTTTCCTGTTTATGCCTTATACTCTCTCCTTTACAGTGAATTCTGGATGTGCTGGACACAGCTGCTGGAAAAGATTGATGAGATATTTAGCCTGTGGGTCTTAGAGCTAGAGAGGCAGCAGCACAGCCGTGCAGCTGGGAGTCTCATTTTAGAAGAAGGCCTGTTTCTCAGCAGAAATTTTTAAAAGTTTTCCGTGACGTGCCCATCATGACCAAGGTTGGGGGTTATAAGCCATGTGTGCACATGCGCAGGTATGTCACTGCTACACTACCTCAGATTCGCTACAAGCATTATCTTGAGCATGTGGCTGTATCCAAGGAGTTGTTCTGACTGACCTGTGGTATATCTTCTCTTCAATAGTACCTGCAGTGAGAAGCCTATACACAGTCACCTGTTTCTTCTGGCCTATTCTCCAAGCACGTTCCCGAGCCTGGAACACAAAAGGTTTGGTTACCAGACATTAGCCCCTTAGACATGTGTTTGACAGCACTATCGATACCACTGTTTCAAACGTAGTTTGGACATTTAACAAATAGTTCAAGAAGTTACATAGCTGTGGTATTTCTACAGCATTAGGACAACTAACTCAGTAGGAGAGGAAAACAATTTAGAAAGTTTGCATATGTAAAAAGACAAGTCTCCAATTGTACCAAGAAATCTATGCAGAAAATCTCAAAAAATAAATTATGTTAAAATTAGAACTCGTATCTAGGATATGTAGCTTATATAGACTTATTCCAAAAGGGATCTATTTCACAATAGAGCTTTAATATACATATTGCCTTTGAACTTTTCTTCTTTTTCTTAACTGAAAGCTTTCCTACAAACATCTTGAAGCAACTGCTAAAACAGACCACTCTAGATCATGCACTTACAGATCTCAAAGCTATGCAGAATTTGCATCAGAAATAGTTTTTTCCTCTCAGACATGTAAGCCCCATATACTGTTAAGGGATCTGACAAGCCAGAGTCTGATCACACCATCAGATAAAGAACAAGTTCTTGAAGGTATTGGCTTAACAGCAGCTTCTAAGGGCATAGCTACATATTATTTAGTGACAAAGCCAATTTAAGCAATACTTGTTCTCCTTTTCTTACCTTGCATTGCCACCATGAACAGTTATGCCTGTTCAAGAGCTTGCACAGTGGTACTCTCCCTTCAGAAACATGTTTGTTTGTTTATTTAAAAAAACCCAGGCCATTTCAACTGTCTGTTTGGCTACACAGACTATATGAACCAACAATATTGAAGAGTGGTAAGGTGTAACAGCATAAAGGGGATGTGGTGGGAACCACTTAAATTGGCTTTGCCACAAGAGTAATCATAATGTGGAACTGCACCCTAAACGACCATTGCTGGGAACAGCAACTTAGGGAAGAGCAACATAGTGCTTTAACACTATTTGAGGAGATAAATGTCATTCCGTCTTCAGTTTTATTTCAGCTTAGCTGGTAAATGGAAGGTAATGATCCAAACTCACCTGTGTGTCTGTACTGGGATTCCAGTCAGGATCATAAATAATAACCCGGTCAGCACCAGTCAAGTTAACTCCAATGCCACCAACACGAGTTGTTAGAAGAAAAATAAATATGGATTTGTCCTGTAACGCAAGAGAGAATTTACTAAAGCAAGAATTACCAAAGTACAAGATAATTTTAAAAATTTCCTAGATTCTTTTATTATCAGCATTATTTGCAAAGATGCAAAGGGAGCCAAGAGAAGGCATACACTTCCTCATTTGCCTGATATGTCTTTTGACAAATAAAAGTAGTTTGATCTAAATTTCATTTACTGTTGTCCAATAAAATTTCTTTTCCCCCTTTTCAACTGTGTTTTTTTTTTCTTAGCAGAAAACCCAACTTAAGTGTGACAAAAGTGATGACTTTTTTCCCCACTTGCAAAGAAAGTGGTTTCATTTGACTGAACTCCCCAGTTTGGTGTCTCAAACCTGAAGTAGCATATTTAGAAACAGACCAAAAAGCGATACTGACTAATAGGCATTAGCATGTGGGATGCAACATCTCACCTCATTGTATCTTGTTATAAGGGGCTGTCTGGAAGCTATTGTTGTGGTGCCATCCATCCTGAGGTAGGAATAGTTTCTGTGTCTCACAAAGACTTCAAGTATCTGCAGCATCTGTTGCGATGGAAAAAATTTAATGAAATCCAGACGTGAAGACTGAGCAACCATCTGATCAAGTCATAAGAATTGCTGGTACTAACTGCAATGCCAATCAACAAACAAGATGATGACCAAAAACTTGTGAATCTTAAATAAGCATAAAGCTCATTAACTTATGTAATTAGGGGTGGGGGGAAGTAGTTATTTCACTGCTGAATGCATGAATGGAATGTTTGTGTTTGTGTTTGGTTTGGGAAGTCGACAGCCATGGTCTCAAGACAATTAACCAGGTAGATGGTGCAGCATTCCAAGGGAATCCACGGAAGCAAGACAAAATCGTGAACACATAGGGAAAACAAACGAAGGTCACTGTCTGTGCTACTGGCCCAAAGCACACAATTCTGAGGATTAGACGTGCACATGCACGAAACAGAGTGAGCTGACTACCAATTCTATCCTGAAACTACACAGTAGGGACAATAAATACATCACCACTGCTTCAACCTGGTATTATATGGGTACAACTGATAACAAGCTTTGACCCAGTGTGCTGAATTTGGGCAACACTGCCATGACACTATGTCATTCCAGTAAAGCTTACTGAGCTTGGGAACTGGTCTCCAATTATTCCAAAGCCATTAGTCATTTTGGTTTTTTTGTCATCCCCTGCCCCCCGCCCCCAATAAGATGTTAGTTTTCTGAAGGATACAAAAGGTGGTTCTATTTACAAGTCTTGTTGGGACACACACACATGCACTTTTTTAGTTTTAGTATTAACCCAAATTACAAACAATTAGCTCATCTTACCTGTCTTGACTGAGTAAAAAACAACACTCTGTGACCTTGCTTGTGCCATATTTTCAGCAAGGATTCTACCACTACCATTTTTCCAGAACGTTTCCAATATCCAAACTGATCTGCTTCCTCCACTTCAGCATCTGGTACACCCTTCAAAATCCTGGGACCACCAGAGAAGAGGTCAGGGTGGTTGCAAATCTTTCTCAAAGCTACTAGTCCTGAGAAAATCTACAGAATATAGGAGAAAAATATTTTTATTTTCTTGACAAATACTTGTCCCTATATGGGTTGCGGCTGAGAAAAATAAACAGCAATGGATTAATCCAGTCATCATCAAGAAGTTTGTTTTCAATAATGGTTTGCTCTTTAGAGAAGCCAATAAATGCTAATACTCGTTTCATGGAAAATTTTAGGAAAAATCAGTACAAGAGAAGGTCAATGAAATTTTGTGTTATTGTGAGCTTATTCTGGTGACAATGTTAAGAGAATTCTTCAACAATTTCCACATTAGCAAAATTAGTCCCTAGCTGTAACTCACAGTCAAATTTTTCCTACTGAAAAGGAAAAATTCCACCAAGTTTGTTACCTGAAATTATTGTGTCCTTCCTTCCAACCCCCACCATGTTAGCAGGTAACTTAAGACAGACCTTGAAGATAGCAAGTATACCCACCAGAATGCATGGTAACAAAGAACAGATGAATAAACTTATTTGAGCAAACGTATGAAGCTGAAAATTACGACTTTTGATGCCATGTCAGAAGATTTCTGTTCAGTTATTCATTCAATAATATTACAGGTGTTATTTATTCTTCTGATATAATGGGCACTCATAAAAAGGAACTAGCTTGAAACAGCAAATCCCTCAATCAAGTTGGATGAGCCTACTCATAATTTATGGTTTGTTTGTACAATGAGGTTTTTGTTTTTCAGCTGGGATTCACTGCTCTCATCACAAAACATCTAATAAAAGCATTAGCATTTACTGTTCAAATTTTTCAGAACTCCAGCAAATACAATAGCCCATTCTGTAACACCTTAGAGAAATTCCTGTAGATCACAGAATCATAGAATGCTTTGGGTTGGAAGGGACCTTTAGAGGTCATCTAGCCCAACCCCCCTGCAGTGAGCAGGGACAGCTTTAACTCCATCAGGTTGCTCAGAGCCCCATCCAACCTGACCTGGAATGTTGCCAGGGATGGGGCCTCCACTACCTCTCTGGGCAACCTGTGCCAGTGCTTGACCACCCTCATTGTAAAAAACCTCTTTCTAATGTCTAGTCTAAATCTATTCTTCTTTAGTTTAAATCCCTTATTCCTTGTCCTGTCACAACAGGCCTTATTAAAAAGCTTGTCCCCATCCTTCCTATAGGCCCCCTTTAAGTACTGGAAGGTCGCAATAAGGTCTCCTCACAGCCTTCTCTTCTCTAGGCTGAACAATCCCAACTCTCTCAGCCTGGCCTCATAGGAGAGGTGTTCCAGCCCTTGGATCATTTTGGTGGCCCTCTTCTGGACCCGCTCCAGCAGGTCCATGTCCTTCTTGTGCTGAGGGCCCCAGAGCTGGACGCAGTACTCCAGATGAGGTCTTACCAGAAGAGAGCAGAGGCAGAATCACCTCTCTCAACCTGCTGGCCACGCTTCTTTTGATGCAGCCCAGGAT